GCGACACAAATTTTTACACGGAGAACAAAATGACACTCTTGTATAAAAGATGTTTTCGACTAAGAAGCTCAGTTCTTACCTCTTCTACAGTTTTTTCCGCGAAAAAAACCGCTTGAGCGCCGTCCAGAACGACGTCAAAAACGTGCATGAGCAGGGTAGTTTGAAATTTCGTAATCAAGGCCAGGAAAAGACTGAGAGGCTGCAAAACACAGGTTCTGTGGCATAGTGCCCACATTATTCATAGAAAAAGTTTCAGCCCTTGAGGAGCAGTGAGCTCGAAAAAATTTAGATCAGGCTCTCGCAAATTTAGATGCGATCCTAAAAAGCAAAAACTGGGATTTTTGAGCTTAAAATTTTGTAACTTACCAGAGAAATTATAAAACATCCTGAAATTCTTATGATAAAAACCAGAGGGATGGCCTCGTATTACAGCAAGTTTGCAGCTAACAAGCTTCAATAGCTCCGGAGAAATTTAGATCAGGCGCAGATACGACCCCCCTTTTCTCATTTTTTGCTACCATACATAAAATCATAAGAAAATCCGCAGTTTATAAAAAAACACCAGATTTCGCACAGCAGTAGCAGGGCTTATCTAAAGTACATGTAAATCGTAAGGGCCGATAAATGACATTACAAAAAGATTTACGAATTATTGATTGTCATCGTTGACCTACGTGTGCGCTTTTGTCGAGTGTGCGAGTCTTCAGTGAGCCTCCGGAAGCAGGATGTCTACACCAACCGGTACATCCAACATCTTTATCACATATACATGCCTTTAGTAGCATTTGAGCTTCTTAAAGTCTTTATTTTTTGGATTTTAGTCATGCCAGCAAGGTTCGATCCCCGTTTGAGACAATATTTTGCGGGAGAAATAGCGATTCCCATAAAAAAATCTTTCAAAAGTGCAGCAAATGAAGCGAATTTCTACGCTTGCAAATGTTTTCAAATTATTGTTCACTCTTTTTATTTGATACGTTAATACACGGCATTCCATGAATTTATTGTTAAGTACATGTAATAATTACTTGCTATTTGATTTGCTTTCAATCGTACAGTTTTTATCCAAACTACCCCCTCTTACGACCCTCCCCCCCTCACCGTAGGCCCCCTTTACGACCCCCCGTTGCGACAGTCGCATCACACGCTTGACTCTGCTTGGAATGCTCTGCCATTTATTTGGTTGATGCAAAAGTAATGTCGTAATTTGAGAAAAATTCAATAGTTCTCTGAATAATCAACCTAATTCCACAAATTGTTTTCAAAAATTAATGGAAGGCCTGTGCTTTATGATAGTTGTCGAATCGTAAGTTTGTAAGAACCAGGGACCGAGAACGAAGCCTTCAAAAATGGCGATTCAAAATTTGCGATTTTGAGTTTGATGCTGGAAAATTGCCGAAGCATGCTAGCTAGCCCAAAAAAATCTGCAAGGATTTCTCACACAGCAAAAATCCATACGTTAATTCGGCAGGCTTCAATTCCTTATGGAAATGCAGAAACAAAAAATTCGTGGAAAATGTCATTTCGAAGGGAGAATCCGGTTACTGCAGCAGTTTTCTTACAGAACCACAGTCTGTAACCAGACATTAGACCTGGTACCTATTTTGAACACATTGACGTTTTTTGAAGCGTCAAACAGTGTTTTGCCGAAAAATTGCAGTGGTAAGGGTTTTTTGGGTGAAATGACATTCACGAATTATTTGTTGCTGCATTTCCAAGCCTGCCAAATTGACATATGGACTTTTGCTGTGCAAGAAATTTTAGAGATTTTTTGGGCTAGCTGGCAAATTTTTAGAACCAAACTCAAAATCACAAATTTTGAATCGCCATCTTTGAAGGCTTCGTTCCCGGTCTCGAGTTCGTAACTAACGATTTAACAACTACCATAAAGCACAGACCTTTTACTATTTTTTTAAAACAAATCAAGGAATTTAGGTTGGGTATTTAAAGAGTTATTGAATTTTTCTCGAATTACGACATTACTTTTGCATCAGCCTAATATATTGGTGACACTGGCCGACCATACGTGCGCGTAAGTGAGTATTTGGCTGGTAATAGACGGCGAGTTTGATAAATCCACTAGGCAAGCATAGAAGAGTTGAACACAGCGGTGCCGATTACGATACCAAGTGCAGCATTTTAGCTTACGAGAATCAGATATCTGCGAGAAAAATACTTGAGGCGGCTTACATTCTTGCCCGCGACCCCATGTTCAATAGCAAGAATAAACAGTTATATCTCTCCTGCAGATCTGATGCCGTATCTAACGCCTTGCAAATTATAAGATTGTCTGCCCTACTCAGATAATCGCCGGGGGCAGGCGGGCACCGGAAAAATAGATTGCTGATTTCTCGCACCCCGCTCGCGGATTTTTTGGAAAGCAATCAGGACTTTTCGGAAGGCCGCTTGCTGAGTCAGCGGATTTTTGAGAGAACGCCTGTTGAATTTTTTTTCGCTCTTATGTTTTGCAGATATATTGCTGAATCTCTGAGGAATCGAGAACTCAGCAAGCGGTCTCCGAAAGATCCTAATTGCTTTCCAAAAAAGCCGCGAGCGGGGTGCGAGAGATCAGCAATCTATTTTTCCGGTGCCCGCCTGCCCCCGGCGATTGTCTGAATGGCTGACCCCTTTCACCTGAGGTTGAGACTAGAATCAAGGCATAACGGCAGAATAAAACAGCTGTTACAATGACATTTAGGAAGGAAACGCCAGCTGCTTTTCTTCTCAGAATCAAGGCTGCAAAAGATTATTGAATCAACACGTTTTGTTGAAAAAACGCATGCTCGAGACCTTCTGCGCACTCAAAGTGGCAAGATCACGAAACATAATTAAAAAATGAAAGTATGTCTGATTCTTTGAATAATTAACACTGTATCAATGATTACACTTGTCTCAAGAAAAAGTTAAGCAAGAGTAGAAAAATTGGAATAGTTAAAGATGGATGCTTGTTTGCTGAGAGTAATAGTACCATACCTCCTTTCACTAAAGAGAAAAATAAAATAAAAAGCAGTTAAATTGCCCATTTCCCTTGAGAAACGGGCAATCTAACTGCTGCTTTTGAATCATATTAATTTCACCTTTTTCAAACCAAAAAGGTCCAAAACCAAAACCCATTACCATTAGAAAGCCCACGAAAGGGGATTCGAAATAGAATAGACCGTCTCCTTTTCTCTAGCTCCCTCTACCTAGAGAGCATGGCATTTTAGCTAAAAATATGTGTTTTTGTCAAGAAATTCCTGCATGAAGAATGAATGAAGGTGCCTCCTGATCTGATTGCTTAACAGTACCACAGAGCAAGACCTTGCCAATAAACGTAGACCTTCTCTTTTTTCTATCGTCGTCCTTTCTTTCAAGAATGAATCACATAAAATCACACAAAATTCGCTGGTGAGTAGGTGTATAAAATTGCTCGTATCTCGATTTACAGAGAAGCTATGAAATAATAGCCAATACTTTGGGGGAGCTGAGTGGAGCAAGATAATAGTAAATATCTCCACCCCATTTTTAGCCACTGGTAAGTTTTTTCGCCCAGCAGTCGATATACCATTCGAAACACAAGAAAAGGAGATTCGGATTACACCATCGACTTCCTTCTAGCCCTCTACCGAGAAATACACTGCATTTTATCTGAAATCATTTTTAACCGCAGATTTCTGCCAAACGAAGACCTAATCACAGCTGGTTATCTATCTATGTTATAGAGCAGGTCTTCTTTGAAGGCAGTGTCCCGGCAGATTCGCGCCGTGGGGGATTTTGCCATGGTGGGGTCCCTGGTCATTCAACTGACCTCCACGCGTAGTCTGGCTGGCTGATGTTCCCCCCGAGCCGAGAAAATAGCCCTTGAACCGCGCGCGCAACCTCAATCGGCGCGAGCTCGGACGACTTCACTTACCATTCGGCCCGGGACCCTACCACCGCTCTCCTGCTTTGTTCATGCTATGGAAAGCAAAAATTACAAGCGCCGGGATCTTCGTGCCAAGGCCTCCCAACTTCCCATTGAAATTCTCGTCCAAGCTGCCTTTTGGAACTTGGGTAAACGCCCCGAAGAAGGTCTTTTCACACGTTTCAAAGCTGAAATTCGGGGTCTACGGATCGAAAAGGCCTAAAACATGCAAAAAGATAAGAATACAAAATCTGCCGGGACACTGCCTTTGACAAACGTAGACCGTCGACTTTCTCGTGGCATTCATTTAGAGAGCAGAAAGTGAGGACACAAACTCAGTTGATATATGAAGTACATAAAGTGCCTCATATCTCGCGTCACAGAAAACCCAGAAAAAAGTAGACGGTCTATGTCGATTCTACATGACCTCAGCTTTCGAATGGTGTGTAACTTGTTGGGGCATTTGCTTTAGGGCTCACTTCCCCCTTCACCTTACCAGGACGGGAGTGGCAGAGACCCCCTTCACCTGGAGAGGGCCCGGCTCCCCCTATTGCACCTATGCTGGTAAGTAACACTCCCTCTGCCCACAAACTCTCTACTTCCACTTGAAACGAATCGAATGGGCTAGCAGGAGGAGGTATTAATCGGCCGAGATTGAATCAAAGTGACTAATACCTTTTAAGCTTCCAACAACGGCGTGTAGCCAATTCAATAAAGTGTTACCATTAACAACCTGTATACGGCAGAAAAAACCATCGAAGTTAGCCGTTCTATATATAGTTCCGATTTGTTATCCTACAATCTATGTACAGTTTCGAATTGTTCTGTTCGTCTCAGGCCGCAAATGACATTTATCTTATCAGTGAGATTCTAACCAGCTTCCGAAAAATGCATAAATCATTACCACTTCGCTACTGATAATCAAGGAGTTTGCGCAAAATAGTTTACTACCAGCTTACGTCTGAAAGTGAGTGTGCCATATACAAAAAGGAAGATTCGTGAACCTGACTGCAAAATTTGACAATCTAATATTTTGGAAAGACATGTTGTACATTTAGTCCTTATTGGTACATATGAAAATTTTCTATTCAGACTGAACCCATGTATCGGGTATCACGTTCACTGATGAAACAACTGAAAAGGTGTTCTGGAGAAAATGTTGAAAAGTGGATGAGAACCTTCAACGTGAGGTACGTACACTATTCCTTGATATGCGTTGCTGGTATCGCCGCCTCTCCGGCGTACGTTGAGCGGAGCATTTGCAGCCATTTAAACACGTTGGTGAACTTGTTAACCCTCTACCGAAGGCATTGTTCTTTGTGACTCGCTAACAACTCTGCCACTTATGAGAACAGCATGTATACGTGGTAGTTTAGAAAGAACCATACTTTGCAGTATACTTGGAAAAATTCGCAATTTTTTCGAACATTTGAAAATCGAATAATATCTTTCAAATATTCGACTACCGAATATGATGTGAAAACTGAAAATCTCGAATTTTTGACTATCGAAGAGTAATAGTAATCGGATATCGAATTATTTGTTATTCGAATTTTGAATATTATTCGGTTTTCGAATATTATTCGATTTCCGAATATCATCGATTTTCGAATACTATTCGAATAATTTATCAGTGACACTACCTATGAGAGGCCAAAAGATCTAACAATAGATTGTTTCATATAAGTAACAATAAAAGAACTTTTTTATGTTACAATTTACGGTGAAAAACCTGGTGACGGACTTGAGAACCCAAAAGCGTACCTTTGTGACGATTGTGAAGAGAATTTTCGAACGAGAAGATTAGGTGCTCATTGAGAGTTGTGGATATACAGGAGTCCCAAAAGGATGTAGATCCGCGGGCTAACATCAACTTGGACTTACAGTATGGAGCTATTTATCTCACTGTTGTAAAATTATCTCGGGGAAATTGAAGAGTATTCAGAATCAATAGCCGTTTGCCCAGGAAAAAAATCAAAAGGGCCGAAAGTTTTACATTAAACTCCTAGAGACACTTACTATATATAAGTTTGCACTCAACCGTGATGTTTTCAATGCCAGGGTACACCGTAATGTTTTTCAACGACTTTCAAAGACGTGATTGCACATTTAGAAAGCTTAAAACTCGTGCGTAGTAAAAAACCAGCATACTTGAAAACTTTTATACAAGATTTCAAATCTTTTTTTTTGAGGGGAAGGGACAGTTTGTTTTATTTCGCACTTGCTCCATATGCTGGAATTTCCTACCATGCTAGCAGAATAAGCAAAACATTGATGATTCGCTTTTTTGCATTTGTAAGATAAAGCCATCCCTACATGATGCTACCCAAAGGTTGGCAAAAGACTTCATGAGAGTTACTAGCTATCAAATAGTGTATTAATACTCTTGGGACACCCCGTATACACCCCCCGTATATGCTGTAAATATCCAATTTTCGCAATATCAAGTAATTGGATATTTACAGCATATGCGGGGTGTCCCACGAGCATCAACACACTATCAATACACAATACATAGTCGATTATTCGATGCTCATCGAATTTTCGAGTAGTCAATCCTCATCAAATTTTCGAATATTCGGTGCTCATCGAATAATCGACTATCATGCTACTGACTTCTATAATAAAGCGCAGGGGGGACCATTCGACGGCAACAACCGGCGATGGATTTGTCCTATCTGACTTGATTTTTGCACTTTCGCCCGCTTCCATACTGTTTACCGTTACGATTCGACACAGTCGCGAAAGTGCAACCTATGACGTCATCATGTTTTGCGCTTGCTTGGCTTTCTCGGTAATACATCGGTTTATACCATAACATCGAACTATTGAAAACCCTAAGGAAAAGTTCGACGCCTCAGTTCTGCAAGGATATTTGTAGGGTCTGATGCTTTTCGAAAGTCTTTACTTGACATCTCAACACTGTGAGAACTTTCCAAATTGCTATCCACTAGGTGATGAAAAAACATAGCGATGCGAATTGCCTTGAAACGCTGCAGAAAAAATCATTTTGCAAGCAAACGTAGGTTCTAAGAGAACACTTCATTTCAGAATTTAAATTTTTCTTCAAAGATTGAAAATTTCAAAAATACTGATGTTACTGTAATCGTGAGAGAAGTTTTGGAAATAGCTACATGCTGTCTGTCTGCTGTCAACACATCAAATGTGAACAAAAGAGATGAAAAGAAAGCAAAGCTTCACTAACCATCAACTTAACCCTTGCCAACCTCAGGAACGTGTAGCTCTTCCACTGCAATTTTGTCAGAACATTGCACTACCAAAATCGTATAAACAGTTGTGATTTGCTAGGATAAACAGGTAAAATAAGATATACGCTTTAATACCAGCTCTCTTCATAAATTCAAGTCAATAACTACTAAGATGAGCTGGAAAATGGGGTGGATTTTAAAGCATTTGGTTTGGAATTTATAGTCCTATATTGACTCCTATATGGCGTTCCAAACTGTCAACAATTTGGAAAGCCCATATAAGACGCGAACGCGAGTTCTGGCATTAGAATTTTTTACATATTTTGTGAAGAGGAAAAGGATTTTTTGATTTAGAAAATCCCAAAATAATAAGTTAGAATTTCGGCTAAAAATATTCAAGTGCGTTGAGTTGAATCCTCTTTCTAAATTCTCGCAAACCAAAATAGTTTCTTTGAGGTCCATATGCATGAAACTCCCAGTGGCAAAAAAAGCGGCGTTCCAATGATGAAAGCCGTAGCAGTATTTATTTATTCATTTATTTATTTATTTATTTATTCATGCACTCACAGGTGCGCCAAAAATGTAAATAAAAATGAGAAGCACACTGTTGCTGGCTTAACTGGTTTCTGCAGAAAAAGTAGAGAAGGACATGTCTCCTGCATAGGTGGTCAGGTCGTTCTCCTTCTACAAAACGTGAGGAGCCATTAACCGACATCTTTGTCCCCTATCCAGACGCGTGTTTGTAGCAGTGCATCAGGGCTTGGTTAACCAACTTAACTCTAGCAAGAGGCGAAGGGACCCTGGGCGAATGGACAAGGGGGGACCTCAAGGTAAAATGGTCACCGAACCTTGAATTCCTCGAACGGCTATTCCTGTAGAAGAGACCGCGAGCACTACAGAAACCTGATAAAAAAAGCCGTAGACAGATCAAAGAGAGCAAAAGAAACAATAAAAGAACCCAAAAAAACACACAACAGAGAACGAAGAGAACACTCCAACTTTGCAGTGTATCGCTTGAATAGGATTCGGAGGAAGTCTGAGCTCGATTTGACCAGCGGTGATGATGTAGACAGTTAAAACAGCTCCAAAAGTTTGCAATATTCAAGGTTTGTAGAACATAAATTTGGGCCGATCTCTTGAGAAGAACCAAGGAGTTTTCACTGGAAGTAATCTCTTTCGGTAAGAGATTGAGCCACTTTGACGTTCGGCATACAAAAGAATTGAAGGCTATTGAAAGGATTCTGTTATTTAATCTGCAATAGCGCACATTCAGCCTACCTGTACGAGTTCCGCAATGCCTAAATATCCAAAACTTACTCGCTCTTAATCTTGTTTCTAAACGTATTATGCGGAAAGCAGATACCAAGTCATTGAATACTCTTCTGTATTTTAAGCTGCGTAAGTTCAAGGCGGATAACCGCAATCTGTACGTGGGTAAAGATTGAGGATAGTCGGGGGTGGGAAAACAGCCATAGAAAACAATTCTTCTAAATATTTCTTGGACCCTTTCAATCAATTCAATATCTTTTTTCAAAAAGGGGTTCCACACTGGTGAGGCATATTCTAGATGCGGTAGAACGTACATTTTATAAAGTCTCACTAATAGCACAGGGTCATTACAGTGGATATTACGTAAAAGAAGGAAAAGACTTGAAAGTGCTTTTTTGGAACTGCATCATAATGGTGCGTGAATCTTAACTGATTATCTACTAAAACACCGAGATCTCCAGCAGCGCTACAGGATTCTAAAGTGACCCCTTCATACTCATAAGCTGGGCACGGAGAATTACCAAGGTGCATCTTTTAAATTTGAGGGCATTGATAGGCAGATTCCAATCTCTGGACCACAAAGTCATTTTTTGGATCGATAAGGAAATTGCCCTAAATGCTTCATTATGTTGGTCCTCATCATAGCATAGATATATTTTAATGTCGTCAGCAAACATTTGAATTTTCATATTGGTATGTGTTTTGCGGACAAATCTGCTGTATAGGCAAGAAAGAGGAGTGGCGATAATATGCCACCTTGAGGTACGCCGCTAAGGCAGCTGTGTCTTTTGGAAAAACAGTTACCAACTCGAACAGTCATTCCCCTTTCTTGCAAGTATGAGGTAAGCCAAGAAAGGATTTGATCTCGAATACCATAATTTTCTAGTTTGAGGAGTAACTTTCTATGGTCAACCCTATCAAATGCTTTAGAAAGGTCAAAAAATATGATATCCACTGATTTGCCATGGTTAAGGGCAACCATCCAATCATGGACTGAATCGCAAAGAAGCGCCGTGGTCGAGCCACTTCGCAAAAAGTCATATTGTTCCGAAGGAATAATATTGTTGTGTTCAAACCAGTCAAGAAGCTTATTCTCGATAATTTTTTCAAGAATTTTGCCGGATGGCGGCGTAATACTAATGGTCGGAAATTGGTAGTGGCATTTGCTTGATCGCACTTAGGTATGGCAGTGACCAGTGCCTCTTTCCAGGTGTTAGGGACCTTGCCTTGTGCCAAGGAAGCGCTAAAAATAAGAGAAAGGGGTAGACAGAGGGCGCTAGCACATTTCCGGTAAACAATTTGAGGAATACCGTCGTAAGAAGCAGGGCCCGGCACGAGGTGGGCAAATGACAAGCTGAAAATCGTCTTGGGGCCAAAAAGCAAAGGGGATATCGTTTTCGCGGGATCCGGGGCGGAGCCCCGGAAGAAGATCCCAAGTGCAAGCAAAAGAAGGTCAAATCATGCTTACCTTTACATCTAATTCGTCGGAAAATAACGCACAGCAGACTTCGCGCGCACTACGCCGCGTTGCCGCTAATTGCCGCGTTCGCGACGTCGTATAAGCGATGCCGTTGAACAGCATGATTACATGATCAGTTCTCAATGCAGGTGTAATGATATAGCATCAAATTACGTAAGCGAACAAAGAGAGGCTAGTAGAAACAAAGCATAAAATGTTATGAAAAACTTATGTGAATGGGGGTGTAATAAGC